GTGTTTCTCTCCTCGCAGGAGTTCTCTCTCCTTCTGCGACGTTACTCGCCGTTGTCGTCGCGGGTTCCCGCGCCAACTTTTTCTTCGTCTTCCTCCGCTTTTCTCGCTTGTGATCTTTCTTTTCGTTCGAGCGATACTCAGAATACGTGTTCGGCGTCACGAGCTCCTCGTGTGTCATCCGAAACGACGCGTGCGGGGTCATCGGGCTCGCGCGCGTGAGCTCGGCGGTGACGATTCGTAACGCGTCATCGTGCTCGCGTTCGAGAGCTTCACGCTGCTCTCTGAGCGCTGTCTCGAGCTCAGCGGCATGAGCGCCCTTCAACCGCGCCTCGACCTCGGCTGCGGCTGCTAGCGCTTCAGCATTCAAGCGTTCGATCGCCGCGGCTTTGTCTGCCTCCGCGGCGGCGAGCACAGCCTCGATCGCACGATCGCGGTCAGCCACCTCCAACGCGCGTTGCTCTTCGACTCGTTTCCTCTCAGCCGCCGCCACCGCGGCGGCGCGTTGTTCAGCCTCGACTCGGTCTCTCTCAGTCGCCGCCGCGGCGGCGGCGGCGGCGGCGGCGCGTTGTTCAGCCTCCACTCGTTCCCTCTCAGCCGCCGCTGCCGCCGCCGCGGCGCGTTCTTCAGCCTCCACTCGTTCCCTCTCAGCAGCTGCCGCGGCGGCGGCGGCGTGTTCTTCAGCCTCCAGTCGTTCTCTCTCAGCCGCCGCCGCCGCCGCCGCGGCGCGTTGTTCAGCCTCGACTCGTTCCCTCTCAGCCGCCGCCGCGGCGGCGGCCGCGCTTTCTTCAGCCTCGACTCGTTCCCTCTCAGCCGCCGCCGCGGCGGCGGCCGCGCTTTCTTCAGCCTCGACTCGTTCCCTCTCAGCCGCCGCCGCCGCGGCGCGTTCTTCAGTCTCGACTCGTTCCCTCTCAGCCGCTGCCGCGGCGGCGGCCGCGCTTTCTTCAGCCTCGACTCGTTCCCTCTCAGCCGCCGCCGCCGCTGCCGCGGCGCGTTCTTCAGCCTCCAGTCGTTCTCTCTCAGCCGCCGCCGCCGCCGCCGCAGCGGCGGCGCGTTGTTCAGCCTCGACTCGTTCCCTATCCGCGATGGCGCGCGCCTCTGCCGCGATGCGTTGCCTCTTGAGCTCGTCTTCCTTCAAAGCCGACGCCCAGGCGTCGTCCTCGTCGGATTCTCCGTCAGCCCCGTCGATTTCTCCTTCGTCGACGCGTGGCTCGAGCCATGTCACCCCGGGCGACGTCACCACCGCTAGCGGAGGCTCGATCTCCTTTTCCTCACCTCGCGGAGCCGCTAATTCCAAACGCGCTACCGCGTGTGCAATATCTCGCGCCGTCTCGCGCCCAGAGGCTCGCGCCGCGGTCGAGTTCCCCTCCACCGTTGCTAACGTCGTCTCCAACCTCCTCTGAACCGCGAAGAGAACCTGTCGGCTTTCTTCCATCGCTTGCTTTAACGCCTGCATTTTCCAAGCCGCGTCGTCGTGCTGGATTTCGCTCTCGTCGGTCGTCGCGACGGTGGCCAGAGCACGCGAGGACGTGGACGCGGCCGCGGTGGTCGTCGTTCGCTCCGTTCGCTCTTCTTCTCTTCGATCGTCGCCGCCTCCGTCGCCGAGGAGTAACGACGGGGGCCTCCCGGGTGTCATCGACGCGTCGCTATCGCCGCCTGGCGTGGGAAGACCCCATGCGCGCCACGGCGCGCCGTTCCAGCCCGCCGTCGGCGTGGTGCTCGCGGGCGCTTCTTCTGCTCGTGCTCGTGCGTATGCTTCTTCTTCGTGGGTTTCGTCGTCAAATCGTAGCTTCTTCGACGAGCTGAGATTCCGCCGCGTGTCCACGCCCCGTCGCCTCGGCGGCGGCGTCGACCGAACTGGACTCCATCCCCTCGTCGTGTACGCTCGATGCTCCCCTTTGTTCGCGGTCCGTCTGTACAGCGAAGGGTCGTCCGGATCGCTATCGGAAGGGGAGGACGCGGCATCGGAGTCTGCACGCAACGCCAGCGCGTAACACGGCTCGCTCAACGCGCTCAGTATCTGCCCGAGGCGCCGCTCGTTGATGCCTCGGACGACCTGCCCCGCGAGCACGACATCTCCCTCGTCCTCGTCCTCGTCCTCCGAGTCGGAGTGCCACATCGCCCGCTGCGTGCTCCCCCTAGGGAGCCCCGCGAGAGTGGCTCGCGCGATGACTCACTCTCGTTGCACTATTTGAGTGGCGGAAGTACCCCCGCGAGTCGACCGACCTTTGAAAGGTGAAGTGAATAACGGCTAGGGGAACGACAGAAGCGACGCCACGTTCAAAACTCGCCCGCGCGCATCTGCTGAGTCGCTCGACCGCAGTCCGCGCCAGTGAAGTCGAGGAACATGTCGAGCGGCCGCAGTATGCGCGTTCGCGCGCCGGTCAGCTATTCCGTCAAGGATATGAACCAAGCGAAGACGCCGAACTGGCTGGTGAGATTTTCCCCGAGGAAGGAGGATTAGGGATTTTTGAATTCGCGACTTCGGGGAGATCTCCGCGTCGTCGTCCCTCGTCTTCGCACACGCGCTCACGTCCTCGTTCCCCATCGCTCGATATCCATCCGCGCGCAGTCCAAAACGAGCGTCAACGCGCCCGCGCCGAAGCGCGCGGTGAAGAAGCCCGAACCCGCGGTCGAGCCTGAAAAACTCGCGCTCGCGCTCGCCGTTGTCGCGGCTGACGGGGAAGCCGACGCGGCGAAGGAAAACGACGTCGACGACGGCGCCGTGGCGACCGTGGTGAAGAAGAAGAAGGGCCCGAAGAAGGGCCCGAAGAAGGAGAAGAACCCGCCGCCGGCAAAGAACGTGGCGGCGAAGAAGAAGCCCGGGAGGAAACCCGCGGCGGCGACGGCGGCGGCGGCGGGCAAAAAGGTCACGGCGATGGGCAAAGCCGCGGCGATCGCGAAGGACGGGTTGAAACGTCCCGCGTCGCAGTTCGTCGTGAACGAGGATCCGTCCGAACACGCGTCGTTCAAGAAGCACGCGGGCGCGAGACCGGCGAAGCGTCAGGCCCGGGAGCAGCTCCACAGCCGATTCGACGCCGCGGCTTCGCCCGAGGAGCCGCCGGTGCCGCGCGCGTGGTAGGGATCCCCTCACTTTCCCGTATCTTCGTTCGTTTTCGTTACATATCATGGTCTACACGTTCGTTTCCGCCGGTTCCGTCAGATTGTCGACGCTATCTCGCGACATCGTCGCGATTTACTCTGCCTATTTCATCGCTTCGTCTTGCGTTTCTTCTTTGACTGCGTCAAGGCGATCTCGTCTTCATCCCGAGCACCCTCGGCATCATCTCCATCTCCCTCCGCACCGCCCGCGGGCACTGGCACTGTCGCTGTCGCCGTCACCGTCGCTGTCGCTGACGCCGTCACCGTCGCTGTCGCTGTCCTCTTAAACTGCTCCGCGATCTCCGGCTGGTACTTGGTGAGCAAGTCCTCGAGCTGCTGTGCGTTCTCCGGTTGGTTAGCGAAGATCCACTTGATGGCCATCCTGTTCAGGTCCGGGGTCTCCTTCTTGACAGTGCCGGTGCCGGGATCGGTGTAGATGAAGTAGGATCTTGCCCGGTTGCTGCTGGCTGTGCGTCTCAACTCCATGCGCCAACCCTGGAGCTTCACGATCAGCGCGCGCACCTCGAGCTTCTCCTCGAGCAGTGGCGCGAATTGCACTTTGAGCTGTGCATCGGTGCGGTGAGGGAGGAGCTCCGGCGGAGTGAACTTGCCGTTCTCGACGCAGCCTTTGTGGTACCGTTGCTGGGCGTCTAACACCTCCTGAGTGAGCAGCTTGGTGGTGTCCCGGTCGATCGTGCCCCCGGGGAAGATGCACAGCCCTTGCTTGGCGTCGATGATGTACCCGGACTCCTCGTACATGGCGCCGCGCATCTTGATGAAATGCTTGACGGAATCTTCACCGCCGCAAGCCAAGCCGCCGTGCAGTACCGCGTGTTCGTGTCCCTTGCGAACGATGCCGATGATCACGTTCGCCGCGTTCACGTCGTGCATCGTGTGCTTGACGCGGTCCGCGTTCCCGGTCTTGTCGCACGTCCGCCGCGGTGGGAAGGGCAAACCCAAGCCATGATGCTTTCCGAGCTCTTTCTTTCTTCCCGAACTGTCGCCCGGGGGGAGCAGTGGCTTCGTGATGATCCCGAAGAGGCTTTTAGCCGTGAAGTTCAACCCCGTCGCACGCAGCAGTTCGGCTTGCATCTCCTCGAGGCTGAATCTGCGGATGACCCCGTCGACGATGATCTGGGTGAACGACTCGCCGCGGGATCGCCACGCGCCCCCGGCAATGTAGAGGTCGTTGTCGGGAAAGAAGACGCCTTTGTGCGGGTACGCGCGGGTTACCGGAAGAGCCGCGGTGTAGATGAACTCCTTCACGCGGATGCCGTGCGTACGGATCCCGCAGCCGAAGCGCGGCGCGTACCTTGCGTCTTTGAGAGACTTTTCGGTCATGTCGAGCGTGTACTGGTCTTCCCGCCCTTTCTTCTTCCTCGCCACCGGGAACGCGCCGTGGACGACTGCACCGGTGCCGTCTCTCCATCTCGGGCGGGCGAGGATGTTGATGAACCAGTCCAGCTCGCGGGGCGTGAAGTCGCAGACCGCGAGGGAGAAAATTCCTTCACGCAGCGACCCGTCGCCGGCGACGATCGCGTCCATCCACGACGGCGTGGCGGTAAGCGCGAGCGGGAACAGCGGGTCGTCCTCGAGGTCCTTGGGGAGGATGACCTTTTTGCCGTGACGATTCGTGTAGAACTTCTCCTGGAGCTTCTTGTCGCCGACGGGTGTCGCCGCGATGGTGTACTTCCAAGACTTTGCTCCGTTCGAACACGTGGCTTCGAATTTCTCGATGAAGTCGGACTCCATCTCGGCGCCAGGTCTGGGTACGGTCTTCCACTGCACGTTGTGGAGGTTGGCGCGTTGAAGATCGGCGTAATCGCGATTTGTCGTCTGAAGCGCAAAGCGGCCAGTGTTAGCCTCGAAGTATGCGTCGCTGCACATCGCGCCGAACCAGTGCCCGAGCTCGTCCATGGTGTCGATGTCGAACTCTTTGACGATGAGCTCGAGCGTCTCGTTACCCTGCGCGAGCGCGCCGACGGAGAACCAGAACGGCAGCGGCCAGTCGTGCTCGAGGTACGCCTTCGCGACGCCGCGCCACGGCTTGTCGATCTTGTTGACGCGGTCGAGCTCCGCGGGCTTGAGTGTGCGTCTCTTCAGCTCCGCGGGCTTGGGAACCGACCGGGAGGCTCTATCCTCGGCCTCGTCAGCCGCGCGTTTCTTCGCGGCGGCGACCATCGCGTCGTGCTCTGCTTTGATGACTTTGACGCACGCGTCCTCGGACATCAGGTCCGCTTTGACCGCCGCGCGCATTTTGTCGATGGTTTCGTATCTCAGCTTTAACGCCTCCCGCTCCTCGGCATCTCGCGCGGCATTCGCCGCGCGAGCGTCCTCGGCGGCAGCATCGTCACGCCTGCGTTCATCGGGGGATTTACGCTTCTGCCGAGCCACCTTGCCCGCCTCGTAGTTGCGAGTTTCGACGCTGTGCATGTCCTGAACCACCGAGTGAGCACCGCGCGTCGCTGGCTTTCTCGCCGCGGACGGCGTGCTCGCTGCGCACGGCCGCGGCGTCGCGGACGTCATCGGCGCCGCGGGTGTGACGACGAGCGCGGACGGCTGCAGTCGCGGCGACGATCTCCGCGGCAGAGGAGGAAGCTCGCTCGGCGACTCGACCGCGAGGCGCCTCTTCGCGGGCGGAGGAGGCGCGGAGTCGTCGCGACCGACGTCACCGTCGCGTAGGCGGGTCAAGGCGGCGTTGAACGCGGGAGTCATGTACTCTACCGGGTCCGCGTCGAAACCATCGCCTCCGCCTCGGCTGCGACCCCCCGATCGCGTGCGCGAGGAGACGGGCTGCTGCGCGACCGCGCGCGTCGCCGCAGCCGCAGGCGTCGCCGCGGGCGTCGCCGCGGGCGTCGCCGACGTAGACGTCTGCGTTCTCGTCGACGCGCGGAGGATGTACCGGGGCGTCGGCGCAGGCGTCGGCGCGGGCGTCGGCGCGGGCGTCGCCGCGGGCGTCGCCGACGTAGACGTCTGCGTTCTCGTCGACGCGCGGAAGTCGTACCGGGACGGCTTGACACCCGTCGTCTCCTGAGCTCGGCTCGAGCTCTTGCGCGCGAAGGCGCGAGCGGCGTTCGACGCGGTGTCACGGAGCGCGATAGTAGCCGCTCCGAGACGTCGACTGAGACGACCGGCTGCTCGAGCGGCCGCCATCGCGCGTCGGGAGATGCCAGCTGTGCGAACTCGAACTCGGGTGCCTAACTTTCACCGCGGGCGGGCTCCTGCCTGTCCGCGCCGTCCACGCCGTCCACGCCGTCCACGCCGTCCACGGGCAGGTGCTAATGGAAGCTCACGAACGTCCGCGAGGTGCGCGTCTTCGTCGTGCACGTCGCCGCGACGCGCGCGCGGTCGTCCTTTGTCGCGGAGCGAGGACCTGAGAAGACGAACGCCTGAGGAAAAGCTTTTCAAGATCCGGATTCAAGAAAGAAGAGCCCGGACTAAGCCCGTCGAGAGCGCGCGCGACGGGTGAAAAGCGCTTGAATCGTGTCGCGCGGCCGAAGGACATCGCGCAGAAATCAAAACACGCGCGAGCGAGGGCGGTTTGGATTTTCCCGAGATAGCATGGAGTCGTCGGTGCGTCGCGTGCCCGAACAGTCATCAGCTCGCGCGAAATATGCGCTCCCGCGAGAAACGCGAATGCTCATTTCCCGCGAGCGACAGAACGACCGGACACAAGCGCGCGCGTGTCGAGTGAAACGCGCTCTGAAGCCGTGTGCGCACCTTCGGAGTCCCAGTCTTCGCTGCCTTGATAATCTCTACTCAGCGCGTGCGGTGGGGTGGCGCGCGCGGAGTGATGAGGACGCTCGTGTGAGGCAGCACAAAAAGCGTTCCGCAACTTGCGCGACTCGAGATCGAGCGACAGCTGTCGACCGAAACTGACCACTTTTTGAAGCCCCAAGGAAAGGCAAACTGGCTCCTACTTCCCTGGCGCGCATGAGCGAGGCCTCACACCGGTTTTGATCCTGTCAACGGCGTCACCGTCGCGTCGTCATGGGTACGCGGCGCGTGAGCAGCGAACCCTCGGCGTCGCCGCGCCGCGGTCGCGCTCTTACGGACGTGCGTGTGCGCGATCGTGGTCGCAGCGGAGAGGTGCGTTTCCGCCGCGAACGGAAAGTCTTGGGGTGACTGTCACGGACTTGTTCCCGCTTCAAAGGCTTCGCGGTGACGTCTTCGCGTAGCACTTGAATACGCTGAACGGTCGAGGTGATGGGTTCGCTCGGCAACGCCCTTCTCCGTGGAGGAATAAAAGGCCACGATGACGTCTGCGGAGGTGATCGTCGCGATGACACGCATGACAGGCCTTGCAAATTCTCCCACCTTGACATGAATCGTCGCACCGGCTGCGTCGCCCTCGGGATCGGCTGGACCCAGAACTTCGATCATCAGTCTGTTCCGTCTGCATCACTCAAATTACACCGTCCCGCCTCTTATCTACCGCGTCGGGCTCCCCACGTCTTATATCGCTCGCGTTATGACTTGACAAACTACTCGGGCGTGTGCGTGTCTGATTGTTTTTTTGTGCGGGTGACTCTAACAAGTGGCCGACGAGCGACAAAGCTTCGCCGGTCATCGCGTTACCGAAGAAGGGCACCGGGGGCAGATACGCGAAGCTCGCGGAGGCGGCCGCGGCTGCCGCGGCGAGGGCGAAGAAAGTCATCGGATCCGAGGGGGAGAACCTCCCGGCGGGTAAACCCAACGGCGCGTGGTCGAGCGCGTACAGGACTCTGCAAGCCGCGCACATCAAGCTTCAGACGAAGTACGACAAGCTGAAAGAGACGAAGCTTCACGGCTTCCTCGACGAGGCGGAGACGTACCGAACCGAGCTCGCGGAGCACGGATCGAAAGCCGAAGAGCTCGTCAACCACTTTCGCATGGAGGCGCAGCGCGAACGCGAAGGCGCGGCGGAGGCGCAGAAATTCGCGCAGAAGGCGTACGAGCTCGAGCGCGAGAACAACGAGCTGAAGGAGACGCTTCTGGCGTACCAGGGGAAGATGTTGCGGATGGAGCAAGACATGATGGAGAAGGAGGACGCGTTGATGGAGCGATTCAAAGAGGAGGCGAGCGCGAGCGGGCGGGACGGCGCGTGGGGACCGGAGGAGTTTGAAGCGTTCACCGGGCTGCGGTGGACGAAACAGAGCACCGGGATCCACCAGTTTCGGCACGCCGCGACGGGGTTTGTGTTTCAGCTTTCTGCGGCGGAGCCGGAGGAGGGCGCGGGTGGCGGCAACGCGACGGCGGCGGATGACGAGGTGAGCTTCACTCCGATAGAATACGGAATCGCGAACGGCTTGCTGCCCGGGTACCTCAGCTCCGCGATCGACTTCGAGAAGAGGGAACTCCCGGGTTTCGTCGGTAGGATGCTCGCGGTGCTGAACCAAGTGGTCGCGCAGCGTGGCGCGGGGCATTAACGTTTGGAAGTGTGTATACGGTCTTTAATAAAACTACGCAAACGTTCACGTCATGAATCGCGTCTTCTAACGCCTGTTCACGCGCGTATGGGAGGGCGAGGTGGGGAGCCATGATTCGAACGCGCCCTTCTCTCGGACTCCCTGGTAATCTCCAAATTTCGTCGTGATGGGGATAGATTATTGCAATTATTAATCTTCAACGAGGAATGCCTAGTAAGCGCAAGTCATCAGCTTGCGTTGATTACGTCCCTGCCCTTTGTACACACCGCCCGTCGCTCCTACCGATTGAATGGTCCGGTGAAATGTTCGGACCGCGGCCTCATTGCGGTTCGCCGCCGTTTGGCTGTGGGAAGTTCGTTAAACCTTATCATTTAGAGGAAGGAGAAGTCGTAACAAGGTTTCCGTAGGTGAACCTGCGGAAGGATCATTACGGTGCATCCGACCCACACGTGAACTGTTGAAAGGTGCGACGTCCGGTTTCGATCGGGCACGCACCGCCCCTTCCCCACACACACGAACAATCGAGCTGAAGCGATGGAGCATCGGACTTTTACAGACCGATGCTTTTAACCGTGACAACTCTCAACAACGGATGTCTTGGCTCTCGCAACGATGAAGAACGCAGCGAAATGCGATACGTAGTGTGATTTGCACTGTACGTGAACCATCGAATCTTTGAACGCATATTGCACTCGAGGCTTCGGCCGAGAGTATGCCTGCCTCAGCGTCAGTGTGTACCCTCATACCAACCTCACGGTTGGAATGGAGATGGTCGTCCGGTTGGGTCCTGCAAAGGGCTCGGCGGGTCGGCTGAAAGGCAGTCGCGGTGCGATCAATCGCACGATCAGCGTGGTAGACCTAT